GACCTGTTTATACATACAATACATACAATTTATTGAAACGTGACAATCTTTGAATCGAAAGTTCCCCGAAGTTTCCCTCAGTATTTCAAGTTAAATATTTTTTTGCAGTGAGAACTATTACTTTTATAATAGTGGCAAAAAGGTTTTACAACTATTACAAAGCTTTTGCAACTATTGCAAAATCAATAGCTCTCTCTCTCTCTCTCTCTCTCTCTGCAAAACACTGTTAACTCTCCATATATAGTATAGCTAATCTTTTTATTCGTGTATAAATTTAAAAAATTAACAGTGGACTTCCACACCACCCTTGAGGTTCCACTAACGGCGCGTTAGGTTTTTCAAAGTGGACCTTTGCCTGGAGTCCTGTTATACCACATTTTTCCTGGCAAAAATAATAAATTATAATGTTAATTTTTTAAATTTATACACGAATAAAAAGATTATAAACTATCGATTGAGCGCACTTCGAATGTCGTCGGATCAACCGTTGTTGAGATCCGAAAATCTGAGGGCCCGTCAATTCGCGTACTCGCGTAAACTACACGGTCGGTATCGCGCGCGCGCGAGATATCAAGCTATTACGCTTACATATATACTTGGCGCGAGACACTGCCGTGTCTCGTGATCAGCCCTTCCCGTGACATTGTATTCGTCTAAACTCGACTGTTTACTTTAGAGATACGACCTTTCCACTGGAAACGATCATTTGTGAACAGTACGTCTTAATAAGTGCCAGTGGCAGGACGCACGTATATACGGACCCAGGATCGGTTTTTCGGACAAGGTATTTTGTCCTCTCTCCAAAAGAATTGCCCCTTCTCTCGTTACATTAAAATTAAGGTAATGTAATCTTGTTTCAATTATAGATACATATTGTGGGCAAACGCGACACAATCGAAATTGGAGGATCGTGCGGTGGCCGTATCGGATCGAATACCATGGAAAGGCCATATCGTAGCGCACTCGTTCGGCGATTAGCCAAAGGTATTGCTGATATTTAAGAACGTAAAACTAGTATTTCATATAATATTTAGAAGTATGACTATTGATAATTTTTTTTATTGTTATAGAATCCAAACGGAGGAAGATGTGGGAAAACGTTGGTTTGGCTCTGGACCGTTGTACAAAAATGATATACCTTTTTTTTGTAAGAGTGCTCGTATTCGATGCCTGGCTGTTGAGTCAATTCACTGGCGTTAGGAAGTGGCTGCGGGGGAAAGGCCCGAAGCTACTTTGGATCACGCTTCCACCCATACTGTTTTTACTTGGTAAGGAGCATAAACAAAAACATCACCGAGTTCCATTTTCTGATCCACGTGATATCTAGACCGATCCAAACGCAGCCTTTGTCTTCTTTCTGTTTCAGGGGCTTACATCGCGCAGAGGCATTTCATTTTCGCCGATTCTCCGCGCAATGTCGAAAATGTGCAGTCATCACCGAAACGATCCATCACAGACTGGCTTCACTCTAGGGCACATCCCCAGAAGGATTTTGCCGAACGGAGATATATCGAGTGCGGCCAGAAAATTCAAAGTCTGGGTATGCGAAATAATTTCTTTCGTGGTTAAGTAAATTATATCATTTTAATACTTTTGCTGCTTTAGGGATTGTTGAGCGAGAACGATCTCGAGCCTGTGATGTTTGCCATGGCGAGTACGAAGTCACGGCGAATTCTGACGAAAGTTGGCAATATTTTCCAGTTCAGGTAAATTTCTTTTTAAATAAAAATCTTCAATCAATTTAATGAACGTATAGAAACATATATATATATACATATATAAGCTGTTTTCGTTTTGCTATTGTATACTGTTTGATTAATGGATTTTAGATTTTATTAGGACTATAGAGTAATATATTGATGATCTTCTTGCGCAGAACACAAAGATCAAGAGTCCATACGAATATGTAGAAATGAGGATACAGAGCGATCACTGGGGGCGATATGGCACGTGTTTGTGCAGATATCGCGTTCACGGGAGATCTAATATAATTAGGAATTGATCGCGCCATGGTTCCTCTTCACTAAACATTCGCAAGATCGTTCAAGCAATAGCAAGAAACGAGCCACAGCTCTACTCAAATACGTGACTTCAACTACCGTTAACAATAAACGCGATTTGCCACAGCACCTGCAACTTCAGGTGTGAGTTATACATGGATTATTTAATGGCTTTGTAATAGATTTTCAACGAAGCGATAAAAAAACTTTATACACGCGCCGATATTTAATACACACGATATTTAATACACGCCGATATTTAATACACACGGGAGCCGGTTCCGTCATCATTTAAACGCATCAAACACTATATATACATTCAATAACGTCGATAATTTATACCGATCAAGAAGATTGCACGATTGATTGGGTCAAGCAGGAAAACAATTACTCACGAGCGTCGGCCCAATGGTGTTCTACAATTATTACCTATATATCTTCACTGCATGGCCTTGCTGTAACTCGAGGAAAGCCTTAAGAGAAAGAAAGGAAACCTTAAGAGAGAGAAAAAAGAAACAATTTCGTTCATATATATCTCTTGTTCGACGAACGCGGGAGAACGATTAAGTGAGACGGATAAAGAAAATTGGCAAAGGCGGTTTTGTAATTTCGTAAGGAATTTTGGGTGTGAGAAAGAGTGAAAAAGAGAGAGTTTGTCAGTGCAATATATGTAATGCGTCGTGTAAATATCGATTTGGCAGCGTCTCGTGCAAGACTGACACGTCGAAAGTTACCCCAAAGCGCGAATGTGAATCATATAATATAATAATATTCGCAATAACGCGACAGTACAAATTGTAAGCGATCGTAACGATCAATTAATTATAGTTAAGTACCGTTAATTGCTAATTTCTAAGCGTGCAACACAATGAGTGGTTTTCGGCCGCCCTTGTAAGGATCTAAACGATTAATAACAGCGGCAGTAACACGCCTCGATTGTATACATATTTATTGATATTTATTTATTTATATTTATTGATATTTATAAGATATTTAAATTAGGTATTTAACTTCTCTTTCTGTTATTTATTTGAAGATTGCGATATATGCGCACGTTCTCGCTTCGTAATATTCAGCGTCACTGGCGGTGAATTAATCAACCATCGCCACGTCGAAAACGCGATTATCACCGCATTTTTTGTGTAAAACCATCTTTCCACGCACGCGCTAGCCGCATGTTTAAATGAAATTTGCAAATAATTAGGTACATACATAAATCTATTATGTATAAATTCATGCGTTTAAACAAGATTATTGTTAAAATATATTTGGTACATTTTCACGTTGTACTATTTCATTTATATTGTGTAGTCCTTGACCTTTAATTTTATTAAGTAAAATATATGTTAAACATATATGTATACAGGGTGTCTGATGCAAAAGTAGCAATTTTGGAAATAGCGGTAGATTGGGTTAAACTAAGGAGAAATATCATGTACCGAGGTACAAAGTAACAATAGTTATCAACATATAAATTTATACGTTT